TTTATCTACTTGGATTCTGCACATAATTAATTAAATAACAAATTGATGCATAACAAATAATGCATAACGAATAACAAATTTATTTAACACTTGACATCTGCAGCTTCTGTTAAATATCTGAAAATTAGGTGTTTTAATATTTTATAACTTTGAACTCAAACTGACTCATGGTGCCGGGCAAAAAACTCAAAAAAAATATATATATAATCATCTTAAGAACATTCATATATCATATCGAAAAACGTGGTAGTACAAATTAAATTTTCGGTTCGCGTTGTGTGTAACCTATGCAAAAGGAAAATCAATAATCCAAATTCAGTTTAAGCTCCATGTTTCTTTAAAGCCTACCGGCTCAAACAAATGGTAAACAGACCAAAGTAAGTTAACACACAAATTAAACAAGTGCAATTAAAATTCTAAATCAAACACATTTATTAAATTCTTGAATATAATAATATAGTAGTAAATACTTAAGTAACTGATCAGTATCCCCTACCACATATCTTTACAATGAAAATATCGCATCTAACACAAAATTTCAGCTTACAATAATTAAAACATTTAATTAATAATTAACATCTTTTTCACAATTTAAGAAGGTGTAAAATATTTTAATTCTCCAAATAAATGGTTTCCATTAATTAGAAACTAACATTTTCTGACTCACAAACTCAGTAGGTGAAACAAATTTAAAACATCCCAAAACTGCCCATCACATGAAATAATAAATCACCCTCAATTTTACTAACTGTAATACTTAACTTATGTAATTAACGACAATATATACCATGGCAGATAAATCATCATTAACTGTTTGGGAAAACTAAAAAAAGAGAGAAAATAATCTTAATTTTTTTTTTACTCGCAGATGGACGACAGTTTTTCCGTGTAGCAGGATCCCTTGCGTCCAATCCACAGGGAAATGAGCCAAGCCCATTTTCTTTCTGTCACAACCCTTTCGTAAGCGTCTAAAATTATTAGAAATCACGAGTGGAAAGTACAGTCTAATAATTCTTCAAACAGCCAGGAATCGCGTTATCTGTCCATTAGGTGGGAACCAATAATCCGATTTAGAAGGATCTTTATTTCAATTCAATAACAGGTAGCTGAATATATACAAGTTCTTAGCACGATCACTTGAATCATCAAAACGGCGAATCAACATTTTATGCTGAATATTTCGGAAAAAGGCTCTTGGAGATGAACCTGCTATTCGGGTTAAGAGAGAAAATCTGTGCTAAATGTTCTTGGTAGGTTGCTCTATATCTCGCACTAAAGTAGTAATAAGCTCTCAGTCAAATGTTCTTTGCAGCTCATACATCTCGCACTAAAGTAGTAAGCAGCTCTCAGTCAAATGTTCTTTGCAGCTCATACATCTCGCACTAAAGTAGTAAGCAGCTCTCAGTCAAATGCTCTTTGCATCTCGCATTTTGCATCATCAGTCAAATGCTCTTTGCTCATACATCTCGCACTTAAGTAGTAATCAGCTCTCAGTAAAATGGTCTTTGCAGTTAGCGCACGTTTTTCTAGACATCTCGCAGGAAAATGTTCCTTGCATCTCTCACACAAAACTTTTAAACATCTCACAGAAAAGAATGTATCCACTAGAGCAAGGGAAAAAAGAACGCGACTGAAGCCCTCTTGCTCAGGAAACGCGCAGCAGGGCAAAACGCCCCTCGATCTTTTCTTTTCCCATCGCGCTGCTCAAAATCACTCCATATCAGACTCCAAAAGAAAAACCATAACCGGAGCCCACTGGTACAGCTCTCAGTCAAATGCTCTTTGCAGCTCATACATCTAGCACTAAAGTAGTAATCAGTTCTCAGTGAAATTCTGTTTGCATTTGTAGTACACGCCGCTAGCGAGAGCAAGACCCGCAAGGGGTCAAGTCCCACACTCTTTTTCTCCTTTAACTTTCTAGCTGAAAAATCAGAATCAGAATGAAATCTAGCCTGGAAAAAGCACCGAAGTAAACTCTCTTCTTCGCCCCCCCCAAAAAAAAATGTCATTGGCTTACAGAAAATCATAAAATTAAAATCACACCAATGCCAGAATTTTACGTTATCTGTACTGAGAAAATTACATCCCTACAACGAATCAAAAGCAAGAAAATCTGACAATGGACTCCAAAAAACATCTATAAACACAACGTGGGAACTAAACCCTCAACTAACAAGAGGAAACTAGTTTTTACGAGAATCCAATTATCTAAGCTTACAACAATCCCCACTGTCTTGAAGAAAAAAAAAAAAAAAAAAAAAAAAAAAAAAAAAAAAAAAAAAAATTGCAACTATAACAAAGCGAAAGCAAGACGATTTTCATTTCAAACGCCATTAGTAAAAGGCGACAACACAACACCCTACTGCATCCACTGTTAGTAAAAGGCCATAAACCAATAAACCAGATGTTTCCTCGCAACCGTCTCTCGCCTTTACTACACTTTCTACTCAAGAATAACGAGTTAAATAAAGCTTTAATAATTTAAGAATACTTTTTCCAGATTAAAATACACATGAGTACAAATAAAAATACTAGAATAATGATCACTTAAAACACGTATTAATAATTAAAATTCGCGACATAATAGTTCACACTTTCCTTGAATTAAAGCAGGAATTCTCTACTAGGATATTATTCAAAAAACAGAATAAATTCAATTAATATCAACATTAAATTCATAGAACGCTTTTATCACTAAGCAAACACGGATCACAACGTGCATGGCGACACCGGAAACTAATGCCATCCAAAAAATGGATTCATTCAACAAAGTTATTCATAAAACAGTCCCATGGATATCTCCCGAAGTTTATTGACAGCATTACGTAATAGGGATTATATAAGGTATTTGTCCAGCCTTCTTAGTATGCCTTCGTAATGTAGTGGTCAACACGCTCCGCGAGTATTCGAGAGGCCCGTGGTTCGATTGCCGGCGAAGGCGTTGCTCATTTTTCATCTCTCCTGCTTCCAAAATACCTAATGTCTCTACAACCCGTTCATAAGTTTTTTAAACGTTCAGCATAATCCCTGTTGCAAGCAACGCCAGTTTGTGCTGAATGATGCTTTAAAATGCTGTGCTCTGTAATCTTTCTTTTAAAATTGGCCTGCATCGGCGAGAGCAGGTAGATGCTGATTTTATTGTCTCTCATACGGTAAAAGGACACTATGAATCAAAATTCGGCTGAAAGTTTCTATTCTGATATACCAGATCTGCTGCCTATGATTAACCACTAAGTTTTAGTCGATCTGTTGTCATGCCCATCGTGTAACAACAAAGGTGTTCGGTGCGGGGAAAAAGCGTAGCCAGAAAGGTTCCCACGCATCAGTGGAAAAAAGACTGGAAACTCACTGGCGGTTTCTGGAGTTCCGAGAAAGGGCTGCGTGAGAACTGGATGTTGAAAGAGAACACCTGGATGATACGGCTGCATCCTGTGTGGAGGTAAACAAGAGAAACACAGGAACTTCAGGAGTGATCGAGATTGAAGAAAGTTGAGGAGGTTTCTCAAGACTGATCGAGGTGACGGGTCAGCTGATTTTTATCCGGCTGAGACACGAATAGGCTCGGACCCAGGAGGAGTATTTGACTTGTAAATAGTTATCATATTTAAACAAGTTTTTTGTTTTAAAAAAAACTAAAAGCATTGTGATCTGTTCTTCATTACATCAGTTCCAGTACCGCAGTGATGATTAAAAGAAAGGAAATAAGCTGCAGTTCAAAGAACGAAAACAAAGTCTATTCAAATTGTAGACTTTTTTAAAAGGATTTACGCCAAAGAGGAGGTAGTTTTCTGAGAACCTTAGTGGCAGCGGTAAGATTTAAGTCAGTTAACGTGGTTTTTAATATTAAGTTCCCATGACAGGTAGGAATGCTAATATCGGCGAGTCCTAAATTTGTTGCCATCAGTACTTTCATTTGGTATACCTTCAGCATTGTTACATGCAATTTTAGTTTAAGTGGCTTGAAAAATAGAAATTGAGAAATTTATTGGCTTATTAGTGGCCTTAAAAAACCTAAAATGATAACGCTATTGCGAATACCTGATATCCTTTTTCTATAGCTAGTTTTCAGATGTCTGGAGATATATTGCTTGCACTGGGAATTTTTAGAAGTCAGATAAATGGCTCTGAACTTGCGTTTCGTTGGGGATTCGTTTCACTGAATACGTGAGAAACGTTATTTACGCTAAATATAACTAAGGAACAGGGAAATTAAATACGATGCAAAATTTCGGAATTCTGCAAACCACGTAGGCAGGTATGTGCACAATTTGGAAATACACACTTTGTTTTAACTATAAGTTTGAGACACAAAGCATTTCTGTTAATTTCATCTCTAAATGGGCTGTGAACTTCTAAATGTTGGTTGAGAAAGCATTTTTGTTAATATACGATCTCAAGAGTCTTATTTAGCCTCCAAAATTGTACATATGCCATAATAATGAGTAGAATTGCGTATTTTATTAATATATTACGATTAAATACTTTTTATTATATTCTCGGAGTGAACCTAGGGTGGTAGAAAACAGAAGCAAGAGTCACGAGTTTAACATGCCTGGTCTGCAGAAAGGCTGTACATTTACTTATATTCTATAAAAATAACTGTGGAGGAAATTTTAAAAGTTATTACTTTTAGAAGCATCCCTAAATGGCGTGTTTAGGACTACGATTATTACATAGAAGAGTCAGATACTCGTTATTGAAATGCTTCAGCAAACTTTTATCATTGTACTGAAAATGTTAGGAATTATACAGCATTAGCGAGTTTAAATGGTTTCAGAAAAACAAATATTTTTTATTTATTATTTTTATTTTAATATTTTTTAACAAACCAAATATATTTATTCTATTATTTATGATAATGAAATTGCGAATAATGCGAAGATAATGAAATTTTTAATCTATAACGTAAGAACTAAGTTATTAATTTTACTAACGATGCTGGTTTATTTTCGCTCTACTATTATTAATTGAAGTGGATATAAAATCCAGTTTCGACTTACCGATCCATTCTGGGTAGCAGCGACAAGGCCTTCAATTCTGTTGTTAAAGCTGTATACCTTATCTGTGATAGGTAGAACAGGTTTGATTTCTAAAATGCAGTACTGCCCTCGAAACAAGACTTCCTTTCCTCCGTTGGAATTTGATTTTGTGGCAACCGCATTAAGGCATCCATCATAATTTCCAAATGCCCCTATTGTGCCAGCCAGTAAACCATCAATACCTTTACCAGAGGAATCTATAACTGAATTCAAAAAGAAGACATTAAAATTTATTTGAAAGAAGGATAAAGAAAAACGCTTTAATTTTTATTTGAAGTTATGAGCAATTTGGTGCTTTGTTTTCAAAATGTATTCAATGCACTTATATGACAGAATTATGTCAATTAAAATAGTCACAATAGCTTTTTATATTTACTGTTACGTATTTCTCTTCACCTTCAGTACGGGTTCGTGGATTTCGAGTGAATAACGACGACAGCACTTGATAAAGAATGGAAACACAGTTTACTGGCCAGTTTTATTCAACACAGCTCCAAAAGCGCATTTACAGTCGTCGAAGATCTACTATACACACGCTGGAACAATCAGCGACACAACCTTCAGGTTATTAGGCTATAACGGTGGAGACAGCTTCACGGCAAAGCACCAGAGTACAGCTCCCGACTCTGCTCGGTCTTTCTCAGAACTCGCCGTACTCTTGAGACTCTCCATGTTACAACTCGCGTTACACTCGACGATACACTACAGTACAATATCCGACTCCGTTCAGTCGCTCCCGGAGCTCAACACAATCTAAGGTAAAACTCGACGATGCACTAACTCGCTCACTGTCTTGACTGTCAGCTTGATGGACTGCGCACTATCTCTCCGCGTACCATCAGGGTTTATGTAGGTTCCGGCTTGTGTTCGAGAACATTCTGGGTTAAACCAATAAGGATTCGTTCCAGAAGGTTCTCCCTCCGTCTATAGCATATCGCCAATTTTGTCGCCAAATAGGCGATATTCCACCAAATATGGCAACCCTGCTTTCTTTTGCTATTTTCTGGCAACCCTAAACCTACTTTGCATTGAAGCTATCGTACCGGCACTGCACATTTCGTAACATTACCGTACATAATTTCGTTTTACTCGCCTTTGAAGAAATATTCCGATCTTGACATATGCACGAGCCTCTCAGACACATATGTCAAATAGGTCGCGGACACTTAGCCGACAGCCTCTTAGCCGACTAGACACTTAACCGACAACAGTTAGCCGACAGGACATTTAGCCGACTTCTAACCCTTCAATGCCATGTTTCTATAAAAAGTATGATTCAAGAATAACAATACTTTTTACTGCATTATTCAGATTTTTCATGACAGGGAAAGGAAATTTCAGTAGTGGGAGGAGCGAAACGACTTTATAAGGTAAAGAATGAAACATGATGTGTTGAGTAAAATAGTAATGAAACGTAAAGTTATTAGAAATTTGAAAGCTTTGGAGCAAGATTGGAAAATTAACATCATTCAGTAAACAAGAAAAATTATTAATGATGTGAAAAGTGTTCAAAGGAACCCAGTTGATTAAATGAAAACACTTTACGGATAATTTTTGAATATCCCATATTGAAATGTAATTAAGTGACCGTCATACTTAGCTAAAAAATTCTTTTTTCCTCTCGAAAATTAATTCATAATCCCTGGCGAGAAATTTCAATGATTTTTCAATTTGGCCAATATACACCAAACAGTACACTACATATCAAACAATGCTAAATTATACAAGAAATTAAAAGCACATATAAGATCTTGAAGAATCGAAAAACGAATTTTACTGATACGTGAAAAATATGACTTATGGAGAATACTGAACTTATGGAGAAATCGAGAAATTTTGTAATTGATAGTAACTTTAAATAATGATTGGGTACGTGTCAGCTAAATGTCAGCGTTGGCTTAGTGTCCTGTTGACTAAATGTCTTGCCAGTTAAGTGTCCCGTAGCTAAATGTCCTGACGGCTAATTCTCTGTGTCGGCTAAATGTTCTGTCAGCTACGTGTCCTTGTCGGCTAAATGTCCGTGTCGGCTAAATGACCTGTCAGCTAACTGTCCGTGAAACCTAAATGTCCTGCCGCCTAAATGTTCTATCGGCTAACTGTCCGTGAAGGCTAAATGTCCTGCCGGCTAAGTGTTCTTGTCGACTAAATGTCTTGTCGGCTAACTATCAGTGCCAGATAAATGTCCTGTTGGCTAACTGTCCGTGTCGTCTAAATGTTCTGTCGGCTAAACGTCTTGTCGGCTAACTGTCCGTGTCAGCTAAATGTCCGTGTCGACCAAATGTCCTAACTGGTGTCCGTTAAGCCTATGTCAAATAAAGATTGCAGGAGACCTCTTCAAGCTTATAAATCCTTATCATGTACTGTAGTCCTGCTAGAAAGCAATATTTAAAACAGAATAGCAAAACTAACTCTGTAGTTTAAAGAATGTCAAAAAGAAATATGGAGGACAATCTCCAGTGCCGTGAATTATGTAGACCTCACTCACGTTTCTGGGTATAAAATAAGAGATCCGTATAATATATATTACTTGATGAAGCACTAAAGAACTATGCATACCTCTAAAACTTGTTCAAAGCACTCTAAAGATTGAGTCAAAAATCCTATGTAATTTCTTTTTCCTTGCAGGTTTACTTCAAAAATATTTCTTACCAATTTAAGATTAACAGCTTTTTACACATAAAATCTCAAATAAGAAAGGTGTATTTACAGTTGCATTCAACATTCAACAACAACATAGAATAAATTCATTCTAGCCATAAGATGTTTGCGGTTTCATAAAAACAAGTAATTTATACAATTACTACTTAAGGAATCGTCATAAGTTTTCTTTTATTATGGCGTAAACCTGAAATTTCTGTAAGTAATATTGTTGATGGTACAGTTTCTTTGCTCTGATACTTTATTATTTGGACATGTAATACATTTTTGCAACAGAAACACAGTGTCATTAAATCGTTTAAATAAAAATTAGAAATAAAAGGAATTCAAAGAGTTAAAGAAAGTAAATTCTGAAAGCTTTCAGATTTTATGTTGCTCCCAAAGAGGCGTTATTTTAACATTTTGGGTGTTACATTTATTTATTAAATAACACGTTTTTTGCACTTAAGCCACATAAAATTCAATTCAAAGCAACATCACAAAATATTTAAGGATTTCCGACAGTTTCTCTGGCTGGAGATAAAAATGTTATTTTCTGTACAGTGTTGTCATTGCCCCGATAATAAAACAAATTCGAAATTTGGGCGTCCTCGTGACCACGTTCGGGTGGACGATTACGGTATTCAAAATTTGATGGCTATTATGTATCATCGTTTTTTCACAGTGCGAGAAACATACATGCATTCATGGAGATTCTTCATTATTTCATTTCTTTTGTTAAAATACAAGGCGATAATATTAGTTGGCAACAAAGTGAAAAGGGCACAGTAAAGCAAATGTCGTTTCAAAACTAATAGCCCTTCTCGGCACCGGCCCTTTGGGGTAATAATGGTTTCATAATTATGTAATAATGGTTTCATAATTTCCTCGAAAAAATTCCATAAAGGATTAAGCATGATTTAAATCGCAATAATAAATGAAGGCTTTTATCTTTGTTGTTGCGAAGCTACGTTTCTCTAGGTTGGCAACAAATTCACTACTCAGCTGTTTTAAATGTAAACAAGCAATGGCCGCCATCAAAATAGGCTTAGCGGCACTTAAACAACTTTTAAATTGTTGATAATTCTAAAAATATTGCATACAGATTTACTAAAGGCATAAAACCCTTAACCGGAAGATAAAAACAACATAATTCAATCATATTTAAAGAAAAAAATGTACAATTTACAAACATATAAGAGTAAAGAAACTGAGATCACTGAGCTGGGTAAAAGAGTGGATATATTTATAAATATATTTATATACGTTTGGCGCGACCGATTGAAACCAAAATACGAGGTGCACATCTACATGTTATAGTAGTCCTATATACAAACTTTCAGCGTTCTGAGGCTACTCGTTTTTGAGTTAGAGATACGTACGTACGTAAGTACGTACATACGTTCGTACAGACGCCACCAAAAATTCTCTTCAGAATTCATTTTAAAGCAGTTTTATAATTTTTTCGGAGGAAAAGAGTCTTTTATTCTGTCCTTACGTACAGATATCACGCAAATACATCGTTAAATTGTATTCGAAAGCGGTCAAAATGGATATTTTCGTTGAAATATGCTGCCTGAAAATTTTCGCGATTACAATTCCTCCTTTTTACTTCGTACAGGGAAGTAAAAAAGGTTTTGATTTTTATCTTCCATTTCAATTTTTGTTTGTTTTTCAATGTAACTTCGGTGTGAATAAATAACAACGAAATTCAAGTCATAATTTTTATCAAAATGAACGGAAAATGATAAATGGATGATCTGGAAGTCACCTGATATGTAAAACGATTACAAATTACTATTGTTTCAGGCACTTAATTTACCACCGGAGGAGAGCAGTAGCTCAAATTAATTGAAAATTTGTGTAGAAACAACACAGATGCTTGCAATGTCTACGTCTCAGAAAACGTTTCATGGAGAGAGCACCGCAAAAACTGACTGCAACCTGAAATTTTCAAATTTCAGCTTACACTTCAAAAATAAATTTAAGATAAAAAAACTGAAAAAGGTAACAAAAGAAAATTAAATTTAAAGACGTAAAATCTAATTTTTGCATTTGTATTAGAGTTTAACATTTGAAAAGATTCTAGCGAATTCATTTATAAGATAAGAAATTCAGAGATTTGCATTTTTTTCCGTGTAAACCTAGATGGATCCAAGCCATTAATTGCAATGAAATATATTACTCTCCATAATGTGTAGCCCATATAGTTTATCCTATATATACTGTAATTGAGAATAAAAGAATAGTTTACGAAATGGTATTTAATGCACAGTTATTAAAATTTCTATTAAACGAAATGCTATGTTAATTTGAAACTACTGAAGCTCAAAATATAAAACAGGATCTATCTTAATGCTGAGAATATACAAATAAGGACAACACTAGCGTATAAGGTAAACACGAATCTCAATATTTACTAATCTTTCTGCATCTACTTACATTTTTTAAAAGTAAGCGTTAAAATGTACTTACATGTATCACAAAGAAATGATAGCATTGATAGATCGGAAGATGATCAGTCACAGTTAGACGTCATAAATGATTTAATCACGCCACAAAACTTCTCAAGCATAAAAATGCGATTTTGTGACAGTGCAAAAGTTAGTCATCGGCGAAGTCACTGCCTTCCAATCGCTAATACTGTTTTGAATATCGTTGTGGCTATCAACAAAGCAAAGACATCAGAAAACTGCAAGGTAAGTCACATATAGGACTGTCGGACCTCTGCTCTATTAACTCTCCCAGTCTTAAATTTTTTTTAGTTGTGTTTATTAATTTTAAAATTAATGTAATAGAACGCCGTAAACTGGCAAGCAGTGTATGAAACGATTAACATTTCAGACATTTCCTAGGACAAATTCCCAAATGAGAAATCGGTGAAGTGTGAAATGAGTATTCCATTCGTTTCAAATATCACTAATTCGTTTTGAATCAAGAGATTATAATATATGATGGTTTAAATCAACATGGCAATATGGCGACAACATGCTTACCGAAAACATTTCTGTTTCTGCTACTTACTGCGTGTGTTTGAAAGAAATCAGTGGGGCACATGCATGCACAAGTTCGTCAAAAATGTTATGCCTTCCACGGCCATGTTACTAGAGGTGATGAAATGGATGCAATTTAATAAAAAAAAAAAATCTGAAAGCGTTCAGATTTTATACTACGTCCAAAGAGGCTTTTTTTTTAATTTTGCGTTACATTTATTTATAAATATCACGTTCTTTGCAGCATCACGTATAAATATCACGTTCTTTGCATTTAAACTACATAAAATTAAATTCAACAACAATGTCACAAAACATTTTAAAACAGCATATCTTAAAAGTTTCCAAGTAGACAGTCTAACGCGCTGGAGATAAAGATGCTGTACAGTGTTGCCATTGCTCGCTTCATAATTGATGAGTTTGAATAATAAAATTCGTTAAAGTTTTACAAAATATGGAGCAGATAATAAAAATATTCGAAATTAAAAATTCGGGTTTCCAGATGATCATGTACGTGTGGAGGTTTACGTTGTTCAAAATTTTATGGCTCTAGATACAGTCATTTATTCACAATGCGAGAAACGTACCTACATTAATGCACATTCTCTTTTATTTAATTTCTTTTAAAATAATACAGAGTAATATTGTTGTCAACACTTTGTAATATTTGTTGTCAACACTTTGAAACGCTATTCAGCCTTTTACAGCGATTCAACGAAAAATACCCCCAGACTAATAGCCCTTCTGAGCTAACGCTTCTTTGGGCTAAAATAATAATTTTAAATAATAGCTTTATCATGGTAGAATGCCGGTGGTTAATACATTGCCGATAACACATATATAAAAAAATCGAGGAAAATGAACTGTGATTTATTATGAACAGTTCTGCTAATCCTTTGGTGTTATTAATTATTTCAAGCTTGTCTTCAAATGACTCAATGTCTCGTAACTAAAGATAATTAAATGGAAATGTTGATGACACATAACCTGGAAGATTTTGCACAAAATCAACTGCTTTATCGTTCATCTGATTTTCATTTAATTTCATAATAAACTCGAGATGAATTAATTTGTAAGTATCAGAAATATTATTCATTCTTTGGAAGCGATGACGAAGCTAAGTGCATAAAATATCTATCATTAGGTAAATCACACTTACCCTAAAATAAATAAACTTTCATAATAGAAGGTAGAAGTTTCTGTGAAATACTCCTTAAATAGCACTCAGATCACACAAATGTCGATAGGAACCTCCTAATAAAATGTAATGGCAATCATTTTTCCGTACGTAATTTGAACAAAAATATATTCAGTAAATTTTACGGTATAAGAAATTTATTATACAGTGTATATTGTCCAATAATTTGTATGTAATAATAAATAAAATTCTCCTTTTTGTTTAATTTCTAACTGTCCAATAAAGCAGTATTCTTATTTGTAAATGTATGCTTCAGTTTCACCATAATACTCAATTAAATTTCGGATAAAATTTTAATTCAGCAATTTCTCAAGAAACCTGGTTGTTTCTTTATTAAATATTCAAGCTGTAAATGCTGGAGGAAACTTTATGTTATTACTTGTGAGTTCGCATTCGAGCAGATTTTGAATGATTTTAGGGACGGGATACTTGTATCCTAGAATCCCAAAGATTTCCAGAAACATAAGAAATATGAATTTTTGTTCTCTTTCAAATCGTAACCTAAAACTCCTTAAGCAATTTAAAACAAATTTTGAAATTATTAATTTTATTTTAACTTAATAAGTGAGTACATGGAAAAGAAGAAAAGTGCTGGTTTTCCAATCAGAATTTAGAGTTCTAAAATCAGTGTTTGTGTTTTAAAATAACGCTATTATGTAAATACTTGCTTACATTTACTCTTGATAAAAACGAATCAGGAAGAACTATAAGATTTGAAATATTATTCAAGTAATTTTGTAAATTTTATGAAAGAATAAATCTCAAGATTTGACAATGTATATTATTCACTAAATTTCAGTTACACTCTTTTAGAGCTATTAGGTTATAACAATGACGTGCAGTGCCCTCGCTGTAATTGGAACTACTGACCGCCCGAACACGCTTCGATCCTGCTTCCAATTATACCACGAAGGCATGCGGGAAAGAGGGAGAAAATGCTATTTATTTATAAAACACAAAGAGTTTCGATCTTAAATTCTCTAAAATTTTATTTTCATTAAACAGTGACTTTATTATTCTTATATGAAAGATTTATCGAGAGTCTCGAGATTTTAAAATTCGAGAGCTTTGAAGGATATTTAGGATCCATATTCAAGAAAAATTGGGATTCATCCCAATTCTAGTATTTAGATTAACAATGTATAGACAAATTTTATTTTGAAGCATATGCAAGGTTTTTCTTTGGAAAAGATTTATTATTTATTATTAATATTTTTACTTATATTATTGTTAAATATTTGGTAGATTCAAAATTAAAGTGTTATTTTTATACATTAGTTTTCCTTAGCCCAAAATAAAAAATTCCATTATTTGGAAATTTATAGAAGATTGAAAATCGTACTTACATTCAATGGCCCATTCTCTGAGATTCCGAAGACCCATAGTGAATTCGAAACCTTGTTTCATGCATGTTGAAGTCAGATTCATTTCACTTGTGGCTCTGATTACAGTCGGCATAGCCATTTTCATGACATAATTCACAAACGATTTAACCTTTTTGTCTAATTCATTCCATTTTTTGTAAACGATCTCATTTTCAGGTAATTCATCCAGTTTATTTTGAGATTCAGCTCCGTGACAAGAGATCATCAAATAAAACAAAATAATAATTTTAAGCTGCATTTTACGTAATAATTAAAAAATGCTCTTCATTAATTTTATTATGTCTATAATGTCAGCATTCACTTGAGGAAACAAATGCTTGAATCCTGATATTACAATTTATATTGTTTAACTATATTCTAAACATAAGAAATGCTTTTAAAGAACTTGATGTATCACAAATGAAGATCACGGTCTCGATGTCTGAAGGAGTTCCGTATTGGGGAAGCACAAGTATTCCCAGTGCTGGAAGACATACTAGATAACTCAACAATGAAATGACTGGTTTTTATGAGTGAAATAAATTTAGGGAAAACTAGAATATTCGATTGGCTGCTGTGTTTCAATAATAATTTAAGAGTTAAAAATGTCGACTAGGTCGAATTTTCCAACATTTAAATACTTTACGTAATATCTGCCACGTGTTATCAGTATAATGACAGGGATAATAAACTTTCTATTCTAATATTTTACCTAAAAGATCATTATACCCTAACCTTGAGAGCGGGACTTTCCTGAAAGAATTAATTTTAATGTTCATGGATTGCTTTCAGTATTGTCATTTGATTTAATCTAAATAATTTTACTTTGAAACGTAATATGACTACGATTATTTTGAAAAAGAGCTGAAGGACTTCTAGATTATTGTGGCACTATAGCTAACACTTAGAGATTCCATGCTGATAAAAAATTGTGGTTTAGATAAAGGGACATATTATGGAGATTTCCTGTTCGTTTTCCCTGTTTTGCGAGTTTAAGGCCCTTTTATCAGAAAATAGTACATTTTAAATGATTCAAAAATAATGAATTTAATTAAGAATTTAAGGGTTAATTTCATCTGGTTTTTCTGTTTTATATGTTGTTCAAATAATGAAATTTGATTTTTGATATCTTCCTAAATGAAAATATATTACAATTTTATGTAGATTTTATTTTATTCAACGTTGATTTGTTTTTACAAATCGTTGTTTGACGATTAATTAATAATAAAATTAATAATCAAAAATTTGATCTTTATATTATCAGATAAAACTGAAAAATAACTTACTAAATGGTTCGAAAAGTCTAACGTAGATAGGCGAAATTTTTGAATTCGTTCGATGTTTTTAGCTATTAAGTGACTGCTGATAACAGCGGATTTCTTAGCCAGAAAGTTAACCTTATTTATTAGCAGCCTTGCGTTTTAAGAGATGACGAGATGAAATACATATATATGAATGAATTAAATGCAATTTTAAGCTCTAAGATAAATTTCAAGATCTTGAAAATAGATGACTTCACATGGATTTCGTTGTTTAGCTGATTAGAAAGAATACTTTTCTACGTTCATTCGAAGTAATTTTTTTATTTATTCTATAGAATAAAATGCATACATTAAATGTAAAAAACCTTTTCAAAAATGTATATAGTTTTGAGTTCAATGCAATAAAATGCAAAGAATATCCTTACCAAATTATAATATCTCTGATTGCATGTGATTTAAACAATCACAGCGCCTATATGTAGGACTTGAAGTAAGATATTTACAGAACTTCAAGTAAAAATAGGAACAATTATATGGAAATACCAAGTACGAAGTTAAAAATAGTCAGTAGCCCCCGATAATTTTTTAATCTCATAAAACAAGAATATTAATGTGGAATGCAATAGTTGCAATTCTGTTTCGACCCTCAATAAAGCCATATTATTATTTATTAGATTTTTCAAAGATATAAGCTTAGTTCCAAAAATTGAATTTTTTTCTCTGAGCGTTCATAAACTTTTTATGAACTGCAGAAGCAATTTCAAACAAAAATTTTAAAAAATCAGTTATGTTTCAGAAACTTATATTACGGAGTAATACTGAAAATATCATGCCAATGAAAATTTGAAAATATATTATAGGACATTTCTTTTCCAAAACTATTATATAAAATGTTAACTCAGGAAAACTATTTAAATAAATATTAAAATTAGTTTATTGGTAAACATTATGTTTAAATATTTACGCATTGTTTATATATAAATATGCAGAGTTCAAAATACTATATGCAAAATGTGAGGCTTGCTCTCGCATAATTCAAATGTTATTATAAATCGTAGGAAAACAATAATTTTGCAGGATTGACAAGTTTATCATTAGGAAAATGGGATTTTTTTCTCTTTCTAAAAAGTCTACAGCCATCAGCTTCTCTGTTTGAATTAAAATTAGTAATATAATATGTTTAATTTATTTTTATAAACAGTTTCATTAGTTTAAATTCAGATCTACTTCATACCAATAAACAGTAAAACATAACACATATTTGGATATAATATTGTTGCGAGGAACAGGATTATTGATGTTTCTTTAAATAATGAGTCCAGGTCAGCAGGAAGAATTAAAGAATTTAATATGGAAAATAAGCAAAAGCAATAGTACACAAAGCATAATAATTAATAATGGCTGGTAATAACTCAGAACTGGAATATTTAGCAATTTCTACTTTAGCACACGAAATAAATCGTGAATTTCTTCAAATCATTCTCATAATAATCCCTGATTCCCAGTTTATCTAACAGTTAAGTCTCACAGCTGATTCGCATATGATTTATCATCTGTAAACGCAACGTATTAATTTTAGTTAAAATGTATTTTCCCGATTGGCAACAACAGTTTTTTTTTTTTTTTTCAGAACGATAATAATTTGAAATGTAAGGTTTTTTGAGCAGCAATGTTGACGGTAATGTTTCTGAATAAAGCAAGTATTTAACAATTAATGTTTGACGGAATGTGTTTTTAATAAAGGAACTAATTAAATGCTAACATTTCAGAAGTGGGATAAACTAGAATTATTATCTAGATTTAACAACGTATTGCCTTAACGTACGCTAAGCCTAAACTGAATGCGGAAGCTCGCCAAAACTGAAAGTAGAAAGGTACGTGAATTTATAAACTGTTTATGTTATGTCTAAGTATTAAACGGAAAGAACTTAAGTATAATTATTGTATTAGTATTTGAAAATTGAAGTCTAAGATGGCTTATTTGGCAAGAGGCAAAAAATGTGATTTAAAAGAACTTGCTTTGGAACTTGATGTAGATGTCCCTTCTGATATTAAAATTGTAGGCTTAAGAGATATGATTTTGAATAGTAAGAATTATAACGAAGACTTTACTAAACAAATGCTAGATAGAATTATAAATGATCGTTTAGACAGGGAAAAGTTAGAAATTTTTAGAAAAAAGATAAGCAAAGAGCATTTGAACTTGAAAAATTGAAAATAGAAGCGGAAATCAGAAGTAGTAATGTAAATGATTCTGTTCCTTCTAATGTTAGTAGAAGTAATATTTGTGATATGAGTAAATTAATGCATAAGTATGATTTGAATGAAGGTGATATAAGTTTTTATCTAGTTTTATTTGAGAGACAGGCACGACGTATTGGGTTAGAAGAACAAAACTGGGTTTCTCAGCTGTTGGGTCTATTGCCTTATGAAATAACTCAATTAATTGCCCGTGAATCAGAAGAAGAGAAAGCTAACGACTATAAGCACGTTAAACAACTGCTACTGAGAAAATTTAAGTTAAGCCCTGAACAGTTTCGGCAAAAGTTCGTTGATCATATTAAAACGTTGCGTAATACGTGGAAGGACTTCACGTTTGAATTAAAAAATTATTTTGAAGAGTGGCTTGCTGGATTAAATGTAACAGATTTTGACTCTTTAAAACAACTTATTATTACTGATCAATTAAAGAAGAGGGTCCCCGCTGCTATCCGAGACCATTTCATTGATGATTGGTCTAAATTCATTAATCCTGAAGAGTTGGCTGAAAAACTAGATGAATATGAAAATATTCGGGCAGGGATAAAAGTACTTCAAGTAGAAAATAAAACTTTTAGGCATAATTTAAGCCCAAATCTGGTTCTAAATTTTATGAAGGATCCTATAATCAGTATTCAAGACAAAGAAATGTTAACGATTCCATGCAGACAGATGGTAATTTCAAAGTGGGTTTTAAAAACAGTTTTGATAATAAATACAATCTGAGAGATAAATTTTATAAAACAGACGAAAGGAAAAGGGAATATAATTCTGGCATCCGCAATGAAAAGGGTGAGCCGAAATGCTTCAATTGTAATGATTATGGACATATAGCGACGGATTGTCCTCAGCCTAAAAAAGAAATTATTTGCAGGAAATGTAATGAAAAGGGTCATACTTTTAAAAAGTGTACGTCTAAGAATCCAGACTTGACAAATGTTAAAAATAATTTATCCGTGGACCAGAATTCAGGTGTTTCACCAGCTGTATATTTAAAGTATGCTCGCATCAATAATGGGAGAAGAAATTACTGCAATCATAGATACGGGTTCTAGTTCGTGTTTATTGAAACAGTCTGCGGCTAAGAGACTGAATCTTATTGTAAAACCTGATGTGGAGGAATAATTGTTTGGCTTTGGGAACCAGAATAAACCAGCCGCTAGAACATTGGGAAAAGTAACTGTTAACTTAGAGATTGATAATGTGGAAGGAAAGGACATTACAGTTCTAATTGTAGGAGATGAAACGCAACCATGCGACTTATTAGTTGGTCGAACATGGATTGATTTACCGCATATTGCATACGCCAAGATAGGTAATACCTTGCACATACGCTATGCTAATGACTGCCCATTTTCACAGTTGCAAAATGATAGCAACACTCCGCGAATTAAACTGAAGGCTTCCCAAGAAACTCAAATCGAAAGTAATACGGTTAATTTCGTGAAAGTTAAAACTGATGAAATAAATAACGGTTATGTTTTAATAAGTGGATCGGAAGATGAGTTAGGCTCATTATTGGAAGTAATACAGGGAGAAACAGTGATACCAGTCACTAACTACAGCGATCGAAAACTAATTTTGAAAGAGAATCAATGTATCGGTAGGTAGAGCGGAAGTAGCAGAATTAGTTGAACCAAGTTCAGATCAGAAAACTGAAAATTCAAGTCAAAAGGAAATACTGATAATAAATGAAATTAAGAAGTTTAGGAGACCGATTACTTTAGAAGAAATTAAAGTTAATAACAATATTACGCCAGAGAGAAAACAGGAAGTTTTACATTTGATAAATGAGTATCGAGATTGTTTTGCATTAAATATGGAGGAATTAGGGTGTACAAACTTAACAAAAATGGATATTAAAGAAATTGAAGGGAGTAAGCCTATTTGCATGAAGTCGTATAAAACCAATGCCGAAGAGCGTGCTTCTATAAAGAAGATAATAAATGAATGGAAGGAAGAAATATGGAATTGTTACTGAAACAAGATCTCCGTATGCTAGTCCAGTTTTACTCGTAAAGAAAAAAACAGGTGAATTACGATTAGTGATAGATTATAGAAAGTTGAATTCGCAAACTGTTAAAGATAAATTTCCACTCCCTAGGATAGATGATCTTCTTGAATGTCTTAGTGAGTGTAAAGTTTTCACTACATTGGACTTAGCTCATGGATATTTGCAGATTCCTTTAACTGAAGAAGCGAAACTGAAAACAGCTTTCATCACTCCAGATGATACTGGTCAATTTGAACGTATGATCTTTGGGTTAGCTAATGCACCTGCAGAATTTCAGAGACTTATGAATCAAGTTTTAGGTCCATTGCTTAATAAAGAAGTATTGTGCTATTTGGACGACATATTAATTCCGGCTAAATCTTGGGAAGAAATGATGGAAAAACTTAGGAAAGTGTTTGATAGATTGAGAGAAGTAATGCTGACAT